GTGTTTTGTAAAAAAAAAAAAAAAAAAAAAAATCAGGTCGGGGGATTTTCTGACGGTCGGGCGGGGATGCTAACCAATTGTTTTATTTTACGTGCCCTAATGGAAAGAATATTTTCATTCGTTGAAAGATTGACTGTTCCATTCAACTCATGAAAATATTCTTCCCACTGCACTCATAAACATTCATAATTATATTTGTAAAATAACAAACATCATGAATATTATTCCAGCATTCCGCAGTGCATTTAGCAAGGCTGAAGTTTAAGGTTAGGATCAAGACAGTTTCAGCAAAGCACCTCGGATCATTTCGGATTTACGTCAATTAGGCCTACATACATGTATGCCTATATTCATGACTAAATCAATTAAAAATGCTTCCTTTTCTTTGCTCAATTCAATTCCAGTACAATATGTTTTGTGCATTGTCGGCAAATTAAATGCTCAACATTTCATTGCACCCGAGTCCTCTCTTTTCCTTTCTATTAGTATCATGGACCAATATAAAGTAGCCTGTTTGAAAAGAAATACATTTTAACTCTGTAGAATTTTATCAACAGTTGGATCCAAGCGTGGGGCCAGGAATTAAATTAAACAGTAAGGTCGTAGACGTAGCTCTCTCATTGTTGTACTGTTTAGCCCACATATGTTTCACTTCACAACAACAGTCTCTTGTGCAGGCCCTTCATGCAAGTGATTATCAGTCGTTGCCTCTGATATTTGACTAGCCTTTACAAATCAAATATACTTACATTTTGATAATACATGAAAGATCATTTAATTTACTTACCTAACAACCTTTTCAAAAACCTGCAACTACTTGCACATTGAATAGAAACCGGCTCTTCAGCAAACCTCTGCATGCATGTTCTGTTGTTTTGATGGGAATGATTGAAAGAACTGCGCATGCTTCGGCCATTCCATTCTGTAGTATTGCATCATCACTCAACTTAACTTCATAACCGCTCTCAAAAAACATGCAGAACAGACTGATCATGAGAGGCAAGAAGACCAGATATGATTGTAGTTGAAAAGAAAAGTAAACGCTGCCAAATCATAGATTTTGCAATACCGTACGATAGTCGCATCGAAGAGAAAGAAATAGAGAAAGTGATTCAGGTATCAGGATTTAGCAAGAGAACTGAGGAAATTATGGAAAATTAAAACAATGGTCATTCCTGTTGTAATTGGGACATTTGGAACAGTTCCAAAGAAATTAAAGAAAATACTGGAACAAATCGGTATATAGACCAGAATAGATGAATTTCAGAAAAGTGTGATTCTGAACACGGCAAGGATCCTCAGGAATGTCCTAGAAGTTTGAGGAGACTTGTTGTCACCAAGCTTCAGGAATAATGTAATTCCATTGGATAGGCCTATTGATCCAATGTGCGATACCAATAATAATAATAATAATAATAATAATAATAATAATAATAATAATAAAAATAATAATAATAATAATAATAATAATAATAATAATAATAATAATAATAATAATAATAATAATAATAATAATAATAATAAATAATTTCTCTTTTTTGCTTCTACCTGGATATTGAATAAATTTTTTTAAATCAGGAGGGGGGCCATAAATAATAATTTAAAAAAATACATGAGTCTCCCCCCCCCCCAATTAGAGACCCATTGGCGGATCTGAGCTAGGGGGTGGGGGTCAGGGGTCCCCCTTGAAAAAAAAAATAAATAAAATTTATACCTTTTCAGGCCCCGTGAGCTGAAATTTTTGTTTGTTAATGGGAAAATTAGAAGTCGGGAAAGCTCGCATTTCCCGCCATCTAGGAATCAAAATTTTCCCAGGAGGCCCTAGGCACTCCTTCTTTTTTGGGGTTCATCTATTCATGGAAAAAAGAATATGTATGCAACTCAATTTTTTTTTCTGTGTAGGGGCCTATACCGATACACACATGATAGGCCTATGCCTATTTTTTGTAGGCCTAATTAGAATGAGGAAAATAGCTGACATTTAACAAAAAGGGAAAACCTTGAGTTTTGAAGAACTTTAGCTTCATTAAAAGACTTTTAAAATCGGGTGAAACTCATTTCTCGCCATCTAGGAATCAAAATTTCCAGGAATAGGACTCCCGGTCGACCCCGTTCTATTTGGAGTTCATCGATTCATGAAAAGAATATGCAACGATTCATTTTTTTTATGTACCCTGTATATGCACATAATGGAGTATTTACTGTAATAAGAATAGTAAATTAAGGACAAACAGCTCTTTTCAGACTAACAAATTTATTTAATCACAAGCTTTCGACCACGCAGTGGTCTTCTTCAGGTGAATGTACAAATAGGATAAAAGTGTGGTCATATATACAGTAAAAACAAAAGGGTGGACGGTGACTGAGTATAAACAAAGGGATAATGAGTCTCGTCTGATGAAACAAAAGATAATAAACTGAAGCAGTCAAATATATGCAGGAACAGGCAATAGATTATACCTAATAAGAATAATAAGAATGAGGAAGTTTACCTGACCGTTTTCAAGAGGGGAATCCTTCAAGTTGAAGAACTTAAAAGTCATTAAAAGACACCTCAGAAGTCGGGAAAGCTTATTTCCCGCCATCTAGGGATCAACATTTTCCAGGGGAGAACTCCGGATCCTTTTCTTCTTTGGAGTTATCGATTTATGGAAAAAAAAACAAACGTAGCATGACTATTATTTTTTTTGTACGTATACGCACATATAAATAGGCCGATTTTCCGACGAAAAAGAGGAAATGAGCTTTCCCAACTTTTGAGCTAGGTGTCTTTAAATGACTTTTAGGTTCTTCAAAATTCAAGGTTTTCAACCTCTTGAAAACGGTCGGGTAAACTTTTTCATTCTTATTACAGTAAATAGGCCTAATTATGTGTGTATATACATACATAAAAAATGAGTAGTTGCATACGTATTCTTTTATCCATAAATCGATAAACCCCCAAAGAGAAACGGGGATCCAGGGGTTCTCCCTCCGGGAAAATTTTGATTCCTAAGTCCAAGAGCACTAGGTCGTAAATATAGCAGACCTGGAAACAGGGACGTAGCCAGGATTTTGAAAGGCAGGGGGGGGGGGAGTCGTTATGCGAATTACGTATGACCCCGGCGGGGTCAAGGGGGCGAATCCCTCTGTGAAGTAGCGCACTCTGTAACGTTCTTTGGACTGTTTGAGAGTTCGAAAGAGAGGTGAACCAGGGAGGGACTTTCACAGACCGAGGAACCACCCAAGAAAATTTATGATTAGGGCATCTCTAGATGGCCGGAAATTACACTCTCGCACTTCAATTTGAATATACTCTCGCACTTCAATTTGAATATATTTTTCCTTTTTTTCCCTTAAAAAATGAAGGGGGGGGGGGCCTTGAATCCACCGTTGCTCAAAACATTCTTTATCCAAAATAGTCATAATCACGAAAAATGCACATGAAAAACCAAATCACATCCTAAAAACAAACAGCAGTCACTAAGACATACATCAGGAGCCGACTCGATGGAGTTTAATGTCATACCCAGGGAAGGGCACAGATCTGTTTTGAAAGGTGGAGGGGGAGGGCAT